AGTCTCAAGTTACTATAAGTGGATGTGGATGGACTAAAAATACTTTGCTTGGTTTTTTTTTTTTTTTTTTGAATTCTGGGTGTCACTGTTGCAATAACGAATTTCAGACTTAGATATACTTTTTTTTTTTTTTTCTTGCTGCTTGCCTTCAGATCCGAATGTCGAACTGATCAGAACAATACTACAGGTCAAAGGTCCGCTTGATGCCTTCTGCGGTTCACTGGCTGGTTGGAACTTTTTCACTTCCTTATATGTATTGCCTTTTTTTTTTTCTTTTACCTCTTTATGCTAACCCTGTTTGTTGTCCTCTTGCGCAGGTAGGCACTGGAGTAATCACTTCATCAAATATATGGGTCTCACTTCAATCACGATTATCCTTACCCAGTTTGATTAGACTTGGTACCTTACTTGTATCTGTCGTGGCAACTGCCGTACTCCTGTCTTGACTATAGCGCAGACTCCAGACTAGAGGGTTGGAGAAGAGAAGGACTCTGATCCTCTGTTCATTCTAAACTCCAACATGACAAGTCCCTTTGACTTCAACCATCCAGACTATCGACCCTATGACCCGATTTGACAGCAGCAGCAGCGACCCCAGAGAGGATAAGGAGAAGAAGCACACACACACATGCAGCCAGGTAAGGGGTAAAGGGTGCTTCTCTCTTTGGCAGCGATCGTTGATGAAGACTCCTCGTCGCTCCGCACTCCAAGCTCCAGGTAAGTAACCTTCTGCCCCTTCCTCTTCGGCCTACTCCTCTCCCATATCCCTGTCCACCACTTCCTCCACCATCGCCAGCATCATCAACCAGCCGGCGGTCTCTCCTTCTTCTCGCCGGCCTTGCTTATGCCAGCGCAGTGAGTACAACAAGTATCCGCTCCGATACCAGAATTGCAAGGAACCTGACTGTTCACAGCTTGCTTGAGGCTATCACACCTCATACATACATGTCATCACACGTACAAGGTGGTCTCACACAAAACCAGATTGAGATGGGATAAGAACCAGTAGCGCAGCTTATATTATCAACATCATTGAATACAAAGAGTATCATGAGTTCCAGAGTTCAGCGCCAACAAGAGGTGAGTCTCCCTCATCAAACAACAGCATGGGACCGGGCTCTGCCAGAGTCCTCCTTCAGATCTCAAGTGTGGCGCAACAGGTAAGTGTCCACCATATCCAGACTACTCCCTATCCTCTCTCTCTCTGAAACTATGTCTTAGTTCCCTCTCCTCTCTCTGCATGCACACTCTCATCTACGAAGATCTACTTTGAATGTCGCTCACTGATGTCCTACTGACTAACCCTCTACTACTAACATGGACTGGCGCAGCTATGGCTTCCCTGCAGCCAGCGCCCAACCTCCCTTCTTCCTGGCGCAGCTCTACTTCAGCCAGCGCCTGTCCAGCCAGCTAGCGCACAAGTGCCGCAGCACTTCCACGCATCAATGCCAGTGGAAAATCTGCCTTGTGTGGAGGCAGTCTCGTTTCTTATAGTCCTGGCCTCCCCAAACGAGGGCTGAATTCGGTCTGTCTTGGGTCCTTTCCCAGTCCCAACCTCGGTGTATGTGTCCCAGACTCCATGTCCTTCAAGGGTTGCTGCTGCTGCGGCTTGTAGGCCTCAATTTCGGACTGCTTGTCTGTATCTAGACTGTCCCCCTGACTCGAATGTGGACTGAGACTTAACTCTTTGACTTCTTTTTAGACAGACATCTCTTTTGCATGAACAGACACTTTTCATTGCACGAAAAGATATGACTCGCACACCCCCTGGATGAACAAATGTGACCCAGATATTGCAACTGTTCGTCCAAGGGCACAACTGTGACCTTTGACAATGTCTTTTGCTTTAGTTTAGGATGTGACCTTTGACCCAGAAAACATGCCTTTTGATCTGCTTTCACGAATTGAGCTTTGGGCGAGGTACCCCAATATGCTGCTCTCGTCGAACAGGGGCTGAATCGGGTAAAGGCCCTTTTACATGTTGCTCTGTAACCAACTGGCATGCTGCAACTGTATGATAGAGAAAACACATAATAATGACGTATCCTGGAGTTTTAATCTCGCGGAAAAGAATACATCATTGAGGTCACGCGCAAATACGCGTCACACAGTCCTTCTACTCCTCACCGCTCAGACTGCTTACAGGCATCGCCCATATCCTGCTCTATATATACTGAAACCCTTGTATGCTCGGGCCCACTAGTACCTTCCTCGTTCCCGAGTAGAAACTCTAGTGTCCCATGGGCTACGTCATCTAATTTGTCTTTTACCTGACCACATCATACTGTAGCCAATTCCCGCAGTACCGTACCCAGTTCCCGCTTTAATGCTCGGCAACTCACGTCAGTCTGTGTCGATTGTCTTAGATATCCGAGGGCCTTGGTCTGCGTCATCAATTTCGTCCGTATTTTCATCATGTCATACTGTAGGCGGTTTCCTCAGGTCCGGTACATATCCAGACCCATTTCCCGCTAATCCATACCGTGCTCGATAACTCGTAGTCCAAGTACCATGTACCTGCCACACTGATTTTCAGTGTTCCGTCAAAACGGTATTTCCACCTGTCTCTCTCTCTCTTCATCCGAATCTGCCAGAAGGTTCCTCCTCAAGAGCGAGTTCATACCATGTTGGTTTTATTTGTTGTATATTACTGAGAAGTGCGTGTAGATCTCCGGTAGAACCCTCCCTCCCGCCCTCTTTGCCACCTTTCTCAAACCATTCAAAAACAATTCACTCGGATACTCCAACTTCCTCAGTTCCTTGTGAAACGTCATCAAGTTTATTGGCAGAGTTGCTTGTTCTAATGTATTAGCATTGATACGGTAAATTGTACCCATTATGATGCTATCTTTTGTTCAGTTGAACTGTAGGACTTGAAAGTACGAGTGGTATATATCTTTGGTTCCTCTTTTTCCCAAATTGTTTCAAAATTCTTGAATTTGTGAAAACATTGAATTTCATCTGGATTATGTATAACAATGACCTTGGTTTCCAAAAATTCAACCAATACTGTCATCTGTTCATTCCAATACCAAATTTTCGTTGTAGCAACTTTCCACTTTGTCCATTCTTCGTTTCGCCCTTGTCCTGTCACGTTTCTTGTGCCATGTGACAAATAGTAAGTCATCAATAAATCTCTTTCCACACATTAGTTTCCGTTCATTTCCGAGTGATTTCAGGTATGTATTCTCAGAATACATACAGACCAGGCAGGCCAAGGCTGGGCTAGCATGTCCCCCCATGGGGATACCTGTGTCTTGTTTCAAAATCTCCCCTAGAGATTTAAAGAAGACGTTGTTCAATAGAAAATCCACCATCTTTTCCAAATCTGTTAATCTCACTAACTTCCATCCCCCTTCTCCAACGGATTTTGAGAACTTCGCTCCTTTTCCTCTTATTTTTACTCTGATCCAATGTTTTCCTCTCATTTTGAATTCTTCCATAATCCAGTTAACTGCTCGTCTTATGTCCTCGTGCGGGATCATGGTAAACATTTCTTTTGTGTCGTAGGTTCGAACCATTATCTCGCTGCCTCACTTTTTCATTTATAATTTCTAACGTAGGTGCGAGGTCTTTAGTCGCAATCATGTTGAAATGTTCCGTTCTTGTGGATCGAATCATTTCATTTAGCTATTTTGTCAGAATCTTTGTAGCGGATCTAATCGGACTTTGGTAGGATGGACAGATTGGTCTCTTCTTTGATAGGTCTTTCTGCTTTCTCTGCTTTCTCATAATGAACGCATCCTGGATTTTTCCATCCTTGTTCCAATTTGCAATTCTATTCAATTTCTTGTCGTGAAAATCATGTTTCATTCTCATCAGGATTTTACTTTCTGACTCGCTACAGGTCACGTACTTTTCATTCGAATTAAATGTCTTCTTCATCCCTTGATAATAATGCCAGGGGCACTCAACCAACGTGCCACCTGGGTTCTTATCAAGGGGTGATAAAATTAATCCTTTGAAAGCTTCTTTCACACCCTTCACATATTCAACCAAGACAACATTGTTACTGTTCTCAACATATATATTCCTGCAACACCTCAAGTTTCGGATTTTTACGAGTTCCCAAGGTGCAACAATTCCTGCCTTTCGCAATGGTAGAATGGCTGAGTTACATGCCATATCTACATCGCTCATACTGCATAGTTTCCCTGGGGTCGGGATATTGCGTGAATTGAACAAAAAAGAATGAATACCAGGGATGTCATGCAATCTAACCTGTACATGCTCTTGAATCTTGGGCAAGTCAAAGTCACCACATAAGCACGTAGCAGTTCTTTATGCAGCGTGCTTGTGGTTGTGCAGAAGGCTTGTGATGGACTTTGCTTTCGTCCATACGACGCGAAGTTTTTTCTGCATCAGGTGATTGAGTGGCATCAATGGTATTTTTTCTTCAATCCAATCACACATTTCCCGCCTCACCGCTTTCTTATCAATATTCTCATTGAAAGGTATTTTCACAATCAGTCTGATCCTGGGGTTAATCCCAATCCGACGCTTCATCTCAGTCGACAATATTCCTCTTAAAATTTGCCTCCCTTTCTTGTTATCTACACATTTCAATCCTTTTAAGTAGTCAAACAACTCATCTGTGCTCTTTCCTTTCAAGTCTTTTCGCTTCCAAGGGGCACGAAGTAAGGAGATAATCTCAAATTTCTTTATATCGGCTTTAGATTTTGTTTTTACAAGGCAATCCACTGTCCAATCGCCCCCTTGTTCGATAAGTGGCCTAATGTCCCGAAGCACAATTTTCGATCCATCAATGCAAATCTTGCTCGACCCATAGACCAACTTAATCAATCTCCATACCTTTCCATGAAAACGTCCAGCATTATTTGATATTGATGTAGGTCTAATTCTGCCTTTAGCCGACTTGAGTATTTTTCCATTAAATCCATCGATTTTCCAATCTTCAAATCTGTGGATGAGAAAACTAATGCTTTCCATTCACATGAAGTTTGAATTCAATTTTTGTCCTTTCTCCTTTTTCTTCGTGGTCTTGATCGTGGCTTTTGTTTTCTCGAGTTCAAACCGGGGTTTTCGCTGTTAATGATCTGCATCTCCACTCTCTTCAAATCATCCTTTTCTCCGAACCATATTGGGATCATCGTGTATGAATAACATCCCTGTTTGTAAAGCCACTTGTGAACTTTAGAAACGGCCTTTCCTGCATCCCTACGATGTTCCCTCCATCTTTCCTCAACTCGGCTCCCTGTCTGTCCTACGTAAGTGGCTTTAAAGAATGGAGAAATCATAACATAAACACAACTCTCCCCATCTAGTAATTTCGGTAGATCAACAGGCTGTAGTATTAACCAATACTTCAGGTACGTATTGCCCCATCGAATACAACGGTTCAAACATCCCCAAATGACCACGATCCTAAGTAATATTTCGAGCTCTTTGTGTATCCCTTGGTCGTGATTCCTCGAGCAATCACTCTCTAGCTGATTCTTCAAGCGTCGAAGGACTCTTAACCACGCTCTCTTCGATCAATTTCCCGCAACATTGTCTTCATCGTCGGACCGCTGGGTGGCATCATCATCGTCTGAAGGTTTGGAAGGATCGGTGTCGTCATCATCCACCTTGTTGACGAGCTTCGTGAATTGTTCCATATCTTGCTTGGCTAGTTCCCAGGCTCCCTTATCCTTCCTTGCACACTTCAGATCCCGCTTCGTGCAGAGCGCACAAACTTCCTTGTACGTCAAACCCATGTAGTGATCGAGTCTATCTTTCATATACTCGATCACGTCTCCATCCCTCGCCTTCCCTTGTTCCTCAACATCCGTGGCGGAATCACTTGCCTCGCTATCTTCCTTCTCCTCGTTCGACTTTTCGTTTTCCTTTTCTTGCGTGCTCTTTTCAATCTTCACCGTATTCCCTTCCTCATCCCCAGCGTTGGTCCCTTCCTCCTCCTTAACATTGGTCTTCTGGACGAGCGCGCCAAGTAGAGATAGGATCTCCTCCAGTTTTCCATCATTGTCTTTCTTTGCGCCACCCACTTTATTACTCAACCCTTTCTCTTTTTGATCCTCCTCGTCAGAGGATATCATGATACGGGGCTGTCGCACTCTTACCCCTCCACTTCGTGACTTCGACTTCACCTTGCTGAATGCAGGTGAATTCACTGCTCTCTTCCTCTTTTCACTGCTCCCACTCTCCTTCACTTTTCCCTTTCCTTTCACTTCACCTTCGAGTTCTACAATCTTCTTGTTCATCTTTTCAGTCTCGTCCAGTTTCTGATTGATCCTCCTCAAAGATGTCCCGAATTCACTTGATATCCATGATTTAATCCTTTCTTCGCTACGCTCCATCTCGCTGCTATTTTTCTTCCTATCCTTCTTCTTCGATCGCGCAGCGCTTGCTCCACTTGATTCTCCAACGTCCTTCTTCTTTGCTTCTTCAATCGCGTCTCTCGTCTTCCACTTCTCGTCTTCCACTTCTCTAGCAACTGTATGATACCCACATATGGAAAAATGTCAAATCTTGGCCTTTTGTGAGTATTCAGGCCCGCCTTCACTTACGGTGGCACAGGGCTTGCTGAGGGCCTCTGCGCAGAACATGTGCATATCTGATAAAGGCCCCGCGAGGGTTCATTCCCCGCACACCCCCCTTTAGGGTGAACACACTGGCCTGTACCCAGGCCTTGGCACATATTGGCAGGCCCGCCTTCACTCAGGGGGCGCAAGGCCTTTTCCAGCACTGTCGAGGGCACAAATCCTCGCACAAGGATTTGCTAGGAAAAAAAGAGATGATCTTCCTAAATTAGCTGAATCAAATCGTAGCTTTTCTCATTATCGTTGGTGATAAGAATGTACATTATACCATCAAATGGAAATGCCCGGTAAACCGTAGGCAGAGAGGGAGAAGAAGACAATGGTACTAAATACTAATTATTACTAATACAAGACGTCTGCCCGCCGCGACTGCGGCGGGGACCAAGAGCGGGGACCAAGAGTAGGGGGGAAAAAAAAAAATTGTAATTCTGCACCAATGCCCTCTCTCTCTCTCTCTCTCTCTCTCTCTCTCTCTCTCTCTCTCTCTCTCTCTCTCTCTCTCATCCCGTTTTTGCCCCCGCTGGTCCCTCTTTTGCTCCTCGCATTGCCCCTCTCTCCGTCCACTGCCCTGGTCCCCACCTCCCCGCACCCCCTCCGACTCATCCCGTTCGTCCCCACCGCCCTTTCACGGCGCAGAAAAACAACCGCGTGGGCCGTGGATCTACGTGCGCAAAAGACAAAAGATGGCAAATTGAATGTATTTCTCCGCACTCTAGCGGTAGATTCAGTCTCGTGAGTAGTGCCTGTCTCTTATACACATCTAGATGTGTATAAGAGACAGCCCCCCCTCCGACTCATCCCGTTCGTCCCCACCGCCCTTTCACGGCGCAGAAAAACAACCGCGTGGGCCGTGGATCTACGTGCGCAAAAGACAAAAGATGGCAAATTGAAKGTATTTCTCCGYACTCTAGAGGTAGATTCAGTTTCGTGAGCAGTGCAGCGAGGCCCTAAGTCCAAAACAAAACGACGCGAGCGGGCCCACAAAACGGCAAAAAATGATAAGCAACGTATTTCTCCGTACTCCAGCGATAGATTCAGTCTCGTGAGTAGTGCAGCTAGGCCCTAAGTCCAAAACAAAACGACGCGAGCGAGCCCACAAAACGACAAAAAAAGATTAAAAAGGACAGGTGTCCAGTGGGCCCGCCCCGTGCCCCGCCGCCTTTCCCAACACTGGCAAGCGGGTCTCCGTGGGAGCGTCATGCGAGACCCTTTACACGCTTTAAGAGTGTTAAGGATATATACTGGCTGAAGGGAGCAAGTTCAGTCTATGTCTGGCAAAATGTACTGACTGCATTCAGTGAATGCAGCAAAGGGCAAAATGCAGTGAGTGCAGCAAAGGGCAAAATGCACTGAATGCACTGACTGCAGTATATGGTGTCGTCATGTAAAAGCGAGGATTTCACCTCTCGGCATACCTGCATAAGGCCCTGCAACGGATGCGTGCCCGCAGTAAGTGAAAGCCGGCCCCTGAATCTTCAATGAGGTCCAGTTCGTCAATTTTTGCAAATCTTGGTGGACGCCAGACAGTTGCCACGCGCCAGTTGGTTACATCCGCCTTACTCGGGAGAATCAGAAATATTCGTGAGCCTTCCAGACCCTTCCAGCAACGTAGTCGAAGCAGGGAACACCGTACGTGTGCACATGGGTGGTTGGGCATGCCTAACCAATTCGGTCCCAGGCCACTGTCTGAACGGGCCTGGCGCAGACACTTTGGCCCAATCGGAAGCTACTGGAAACTCGCTGCAGCCAGCCAAATCATGAGAGGCTGGCAAGCACTTTCCAGCCTTGAGGGAATTGGGGCACTTGCGTGTAAAGGCGGCAGCGCTGCTGGAGTGTTTGCTCGCGGGCTGCTGCGCTAGCGCTCGTGTCGAGGTGCACGCGGGCGTCAAGAAGAAGCGGGGCGCTGCTGATGGCAGCGCCATAGCCAGCCCAACCATAGCCAGGCTCGGCTTGGATAGTCAGCGGGAGGTGATGGTGGTCTTCGTGTGAGGGGAGACGTGGGTGTAGAAGTCGAGGCTGAGCAAGGGAGAGAGATGAGGATGATGACGTGAGGACACGTACCTGGTCTTGGTGATGGTCCGCATGGTCGACATCTGCATGTACTTTGGTTGCTGCTGCTGACGTCAGCAACTTGATTCTCATTTCGTCGCTTTTAGAGTAGCTGTAGGATAGTAGTCTGGGCGCTGAGCGCCAGTAGGGGGAAGAGCCATGATCGCTTTGTTGGTGGTGGCGAGTATATTCTCTCATTGACAGTTCAGTTTGATGCTTTGGTTCTCCTTCGGTGTAGTATCAGTGCATTTGCAGCATTTCTGCTTTCTGGACAGTGTTAGACTATCTGGCTTTCGATGTGATTCGCAATCTGGAATTCTGTCATTTTCGCTATTGCTCATTTACCTTGCATAAGGGACGCTGAACCCGGTTTTCAGCATAGAATACATTTATTCCGTTGTTAATAATAATAAAAAAAAGGTTGTCTAACTTAGTGAGTTGGCCAAATTTTATGTTTGCCAAGACTCTGTCCAGATACACGTTCTTCAAACGACAAAAAACGGCAACCGACGAACCCTCGAACAAGTTTGTCAACACACTGGCTGTTGACGGAATGGTACATACACAAAGAGGTTTCACTAGAATTACAAATGATCTGGTCAAAGTCAAACGTAACATCTGCTGCTTAAACCACCACTCCATCCGGCCCCTATTTTTGACCAAAGTTGCAATTCCCCAAGCCTAAAATCTACAGTGCTGCCGTGAGGAAAGATCATTGTGGTACACTTCCCCACCGAACCTCTACCAGGGCTAGGCACTGTAGATTTTGGCCCGGTACTCGTAGACAAGGAAAATGAACAGTGCAGGGGTCGTTGGAGTGGTGGTTTAATAGGTTTCGGAGATAGGCGCAACCCCTCAACCTCTACCCCAAATGTAACAAATTCTAAGTTAATCAATACTTGTTGTGTAATAACACAAATATTCATTGATACAAGTGGACCTGCCGCAGCGCAGAAGAGGGGCTGAGCACCGGGGGGGGCAGGGAGGAGGAGGGGTGGGAGAGGGTGGAGCAAATCGAAGAACATCGTGCTTGCACATGCCATTCATACGGCTGGTACCAAAGTTCTCACAGGCAAATGCGGCGAAGATGGGAAGGGCATAGTCGCACAATAAGCGAGATGAGAATGAAACAACTCAGCTGTTGATCGCAAAATCATGTACAAAGCAAGATAACCATTGACTGGCAAACGATTGATCAAACATCCTTTGATTGATTAATGGCCGACTCAGTGCTGATTTTGGACGATCGGACAGTGTGGCCATGAATGGGCCTATCAATTCCTCTTTTGATGCATGGAGCGAAGCATATGTAAAGGACAACAACCCATTGACTGAACAATGTGCGAGGATCAGGGTCCTCGGTAGGCCTATGGGGCCCTGTCTGCAGCCTTACCCGCCCTAAGTGAAGGTGGAGGTGCCCGCCCTAAGTGAAGGCGGGCCTGGCTTTTTGCAAAAGGCCTTCGACTGTCAATTTCGTATTTGGGGTTCACGCAGTTGCGACGAGCCAGTTGGTTGAAAGAAACACAAGCCGACAACAAGGACATTTCCACGGCCTACCGGGCCTTTCCAAAGAATGCAGGCCCTGACCGTGATTCGCAGCCTCATACAGAGACAGTTGGGTGCCCAACCGAACGAGGCCCAGCAACCCAGTAGCTGCTGCATCCAGGCAGCCTCCTGGGGCCTTCCGGAAGCTTCTGGGCCCAGGCCAAGGCAGCCAGGCTGCGTGAGCAGGCCAACTCTTTCCATGAAGGAAAGAGCTCGGCCCTGGCTGCCTCATTCAGGCACTCGCATGCTGGGCGGCAGCGCCGCTGGAGCTCATGCTCGCAGGCTGCTGCCAACGCTGAGAGGCGAGGTGCAGCACGTGCGGTCGTGCAGAGGAGGAGGGCGCTGCTGAGGGCAGCGCCATAGCCCAGCCACCATAGCTGGTGGGCTTGGACTACGGTGAAGCGCAGGGGTGGTCTTCGGGTGACAGAGAGGACAGGTGTGGGTGAAGTCAGGGGATAGGTGAAGGATGATGATGATGATGATGATGTGACACGTACCTTGTATTGGCGATGGTCTGCATGGGCGGCATCTTCAAGTACTTCGGGCTGCTGCTGATGTCAACAGTTGCATTGCCTTTTTGTAGTCTGTAGTAGCTGTGTAGGAGTAGGCTGGCCGCTGAGCGCCAAGTGTGAGTGTAAGGGAACTGGACTCTTTTCTTGAGAGGAGAGAGTGTGCTCTCCACGGACATTGGTTTTCAGTGCTACGAAACTCCATTGATGTATTATTGGTGCAATGCTGCTATCTGGACACGGTGTGACTATTTGGCTTGCAATGTGATGGTGTGATTTGGGATTGTCATCTCGCTGTTGCTTATTTTCCTAGCAAATGCAAGAAGACCCTCAAAATTTCAACAGAAAAAAATTCATGCACTCTCCTCCATTCATTGTTGTTGTTCTCATCCCTCCTTCTCCCTCCTCCTCCTCCCTCCTCCCTCCCTCCATTCTTCCTCCTCCTTGATCCATCCCCGTCGTCCCTTCCTCTTTCCTCCATCATGACCGTCGTCCTTCGTCCTCTTTTCCCTCCATTGTCGCTCTTTCATCACCATTGTTCTACCTAAGTGGCCTGCCCTCTTCTCCCTCTATTGTTGTTGGCCTCTTCCCTTCTTCTCCTGCCTCCCTCCTCCCTCCCTCCATTCTTCCTCCTCCTTGATCCATCCTCGTCGTCCCTTCCTCTTTCCTCCATCATGACTGTCGTCCTTCGTCCTCTTCTCCCTCCATTGTCGCTCTTTCATCACCATTGTTCTACCTAAGTGGCCCACCCTCTTCTCCCTCTATTGTTGTCGCCCTCTTGCCTTCTTCTC